AAGAAAGAGGCAGGATTCTATTAGCCTCTTCATTCTAGATGAGTTCACACAAGATCTCTAAATGTGGCCGTAGCCAGACTGCAGACTTTACACAAGGGGCTTCTAATTCCCCTCATCAGTATCTACTTTGATTTGTTTTATCACCTAGCAGTATCAGGGTAGATGCATCTTTAGCAGATCCTTTTTTAATGATGTTGCCACCTGTCACCAAATTTTCTCTGACTTTATCATATGAATAAATGTCCTGAACTTGGCTGCAAGGTCTCTCACACCATGTACTGTAAGGACCTTTACATGAATACAGCATAATGTATGTCTATGCTTCACTGGTCACGTGATGTCAGGAAATGACCCCCTAGCAGTCATGGGCACGTCATCGTCAGGCAGCAGTAACATGTGACGAATGTGCAACACCACACATGTGCATTTCTCTAGCAACTGTGCTGTAATATTCTCCACCATAAAGACAAGGGCAAACCAAGGGAGCCCGAAGCTCCTTTTTAGAGTTAATGGGACTGTCACCTAGGTATTATAATACAGAAAAACAAAGAACTTCTCAGTGAGGACATCTGTGATAAAGGTTCTTGCAGAAACAATATCTTTCCAGGTCACATTTCCCAATCCAAGCGAGAAGGCTGTGTATTAGCCACACCAGATAGTTTAGCATCTGAAGTTAAGCACGATCTTATATGTTCTGGCTATGGATAAAGTATAACAGTAACCTGGCAACCATAACATGAGTTCCTCTTATATTTATATTTCACCTGGTTTTTTTAGTTGTAAAGGTCTGACATTGATGAAGCAAACTTTTAGAGAAAACCTTATCAGAAAGGGTACAGTTGGTAATTGTGTTAATCAAGGCCTTTCACTGCCATAAGCATTATGTCAGTTTATGTCAAAACCCATTTGGAGATAGCAGCCCTAACATTTAGCATGCCTCCTGGCCATGTAGCATGGGACTCTCCTTCCTTTGAGGCAGTTTGAATACTCCCAAAAGATCTGTGTGACAAGAAGATGTGGACCAAAGATGACGAGAGGAACCAATACGTATTTCCATTCTCACAGGCAGTTGGAGGCACTGATCTCATTTAATTTTCACCCAGTCCTATGAGGTAGCCTGCATTTTGAAGATGTGGAAAGTGAGGCACAGAAAGGAGAAATAGTTTGCCCTGGAGGTCACCTGGTCCAGTATAGGCTGGAATGAAAACCTATCTGCCTGACCCTGAAGAGCTTTTCTCACTACAAATGTTGCTTGTTCTATTATAACTTTATAGTCATCTCTATAGGATGATGGTACTGAGGGCTTAGAGGGAGACAGTGACATCTCTTTTGGCCTCATGTCCTGCTGAAGGTGGCTGGACATTCCATATGCTATAGGACCAAGTCAATCGAAAATGTGGAAATAATATTTGTATGCAGCAATTTGACTTCAAAATTGGCCACGGTGCCAAGCATCTATCCCTTGGTAATTTTCCCCAGAATAAAAGTAGGATAGGATTAGATCAGAGGTAAAATGATCCAAGGATGAGCTTAGCTAGGACAGACTGAGAGGCACCAAACATTCTCTGCTCCCGGGTCCTCCTCCTCATTTATTCTCCTCAGCAGAAAGCTGGCTCCCCCGTGCTGCGGGCTGTAGCTGAGAACATTTCAGTAATCAAAAAATCTCTCTGCTGTTAAATTTGGCTGGGCACCTTTGTTTCCTTTGTTAGTAATAGAAATTGCTGTAGAATTGTAATTCCTTGCAAAAGACTTCCGTACACTCGTCATGTGAATGAACAAACAACTGAAGTCATTTTTTAAAACGTCCAGTTGCTACATAGCAGTGAACAAACACCACACAAGGAACCAATGTATGACTAAAAGGAGACATTACACTCTCCACAGCATCCCGGTTTGGTGGCAGTCATGATCATTAGTGAAAGTAATATCTATTTAAAAGCAGAAAACAGCTATTTCCAAACAGAATGGAATGGCATGCAAAAGAGGCATCGTCCCACTCAAACATCCCCAGGCTCTCCAGAGAATCATTATGGTTTGTCATGGTAACTCACTTCCTTTTTTATTTTTCCTCTTTTTCTTTCTTGCTGAATATTGGCTTTTAAAATCAAATTAAGTACTAATAGTAAATGTGCACAGTAATCACTTCAGAAATGCAAAACAATCAGACTGAAGAGATTTATGTAAAAATAGTATTTCTCGTACTAAAGGCTGAGAGCCCAGATGGAATTGTGAGAGAGTTCCAAGAGGGTTCTAGTGCCTGAAGCTGCTGCCCAGGTATATGTTTTGTAAAGCCACCAATGAATAATAAAATAATATGATTTGCAAAGAATACCATCTGTGCTCCATTTCCCTTCTCAAGTCTCTTCCCTCTATCTCTGAGATCTCTAGTGAATAATAATAATAATCATAATAACAGTAATAAATGTGTCAAGATGGAAAATAACTATTAGATCTCTCTTATCTTTGGTAAAATAGCTCAAAAAGGCAACATGACATGAAATTTCAGAGTCTGACCCAACATGGTGACTTTTGTTATCCAATGGATATTAATAAAAATGTCATGGATCATTTATTTTGGATTCCAGTTTTCAACAAGAGTAAATTCTTCCAATAAGATTTAATGTATTTGTTTCTAAACATTGTAAATTATAGATGGCTCCTGAAATATATACCTATATTGAATAAACTTCTGTTATAACATGCCTGGTAATTAAGGTAGGTCTTATTCATATTTTCTGAAACTAAGGGTTCAATTTTATTAAGGTGGTCTTCCCATTCTATTTGGAAAATGAATTATTACTTATTCCTCTTTAAGACAAACCAAGTTAAGATTATTAAGTTTTTGGCAACAAAGGAGAATGCAGAACTTCTGAATTTACTTTCTCATCTCTAGGGCACCCTGAACCACTCAAGCTAAATGATAAAAATAACTCCTATGAAATATACTTTTTGAACAAAACAAGATAAGAGAACACCCAATAAATTCTCCAATTAACATGGTATCTATCTTCCAAATTTCTATCCTAGAGCCATAAACAGGCTAAGTCTAGCAGATTTTGCTTGACACTGAAAGTGGTGATATTTAAAACCAACCAGGTCTCCCTCATCAAAGATTTCTGTATATGATGAGACTTGGAAAAAGAGTGATCAAGCTACAAAATTGTTTCACTAAACTGGAAATCTTTGAAAGTGTGTGGAAAACATGGGATGCTGAGGTCAGGGAAGGGGAAATGAACCCGGATTGAGGGGAATGCTAATGAATAAAAATCTCACCTGTGTCAATGCTCTAAGTAACAAAGCAAAGCTAGTCCCAGGCATCTGACTAAAGCATATTGTCATATTACTCTAAACCAAAGGAGTGAAGCAGCACAAATATTTGGTGTGAAGGGTCCTAGAGATCTAATTAGACATCCTAATTTTATAGGTGAGAACACTGTGGCCCCAAGAGATTAGAGGACATGCCCGAGATCACATTGAGAGTTGGAAGATGACCAACATGTAAACACTGATTCTCTTGATTCCATGGTCATTGTCTCTTCTACCACAAATGAGACACTTCTGTATTACGTATGAGTTCATCCAAGTCAAGTAAGAATAAACTGTGACAGGGTAACTGCCAACAGTTCCTGCCCACAGGCAGTGTACTCTCCAGTACAGGAGAATGAAAATCAGCTGTTCCTATAGCTACTGTTGCAATTACAGCACAGAGTGATATGAACTATGATAGAAAACGTATTTAACGTTGCCCAAGCAACAGACTTGTGGGATTGGTAGAGGCTTCTCTACTGATCTAATACCTAAACTGGTTCCTTGAAGGATAAGTAGGGATTATATTAACATAAGGGAAGAAAGAGAGGAGGAGGAAATCTGTTCCATGTGGAGGACACAGGTGATATGCAGTATCAGAGGCAAAAGGGACTCAAACTGAGGCATGTTTGAGGCAGTGAGGGGAGTTCGGTGTGGCTGGGACACCAAGTGCTTGGTGGGATGTGATGAGAGACGGGCTGGGAAAGGGGAGCAGGGCTCACCAAGTCCTTCCGGGCGTTATGTTCTATTTTAAAATTTGGAATTTATCTCAAGGTGATGGGAAGACAAAGGATTTTGAAACAGGGCAGTGTAATAATTGGATCTGCATTTTGGAAAGAACATTATGACTGCTGAGTGAAAACATGGGAGGAGGGGGTAAGGAGGAAGGAATCAAAGCAGTTTGCAGGCAGCTGCAGCCACCAGAAGGTGGAGCTTAGTCAGCTCATGGAGTATGGGGGAGCGGGGAGAAGTAGTCGAATCGGAGATATTCAGGCAGTAGAATTAAAGTACTTGATACTAAATGGATATAAAGGAAAGTGAGCCATTAGGGAAAGGAAGAGTCAGAAATTATTCTGAAGTATCTGGCCAAAGTCTTACCCCGAAGAACTTCCTACATGGGAGATACAGAGCATTCTTTTACTTAAACACTGAAGGACCATTTTATTGACAATAGAAACTCAAGACAATCTTGTATTTGCTCATCATCAGTGAAACCATCAAGTTCTGGGCACATGTCAAAGAGTCTGAATTCTAGAGGAAATCCTCTTCACACTGTTGCAACCTGGTTATGCTCCCTGAGGGCAGTCATAAATCTCCAGTGAGATCTTCCCAAGAAAAAAGAAACTGCCCAACAGGCATCCTCCATCCCAAGGCCCTCTCAGTCTCTCCACATTCCCTGGTGAATTCTGGGGTAGGAGAGGGGAGTAGGTTCAGTGTTCTATGCCCTTGCTCAGGCAGCATTAGCAGTGGTCTCCTCTGTTTTCTGGTGGAAGCTGATTAATCCAAAGGAAGCAGGATGAGGGTTGCTCAATAAGAGGAACCTACACTCAGGGAGAAAGATTTCCTATCTCCATACGGATCACCTCAAGCGTCCTAAAATTTTCCAGTTCAAAACTGGAGGGATGAAATGTAGAACGTACTTTCAGGCTATGGTGTGTCCCAATCCCAATTTAGGACGTAATTCAGGTACTCACCCCTTCGCCGCCATTTTCACCTGTGTTGGCAAGCATTTCCTGCAGGGCTCTGACAGAGAGGGACTGCTCCAGCACAAAATTGCAGACGCAGAGATCTGGAGGAATATACTGTGGAAATAAAGCCAGAATGAGGAAACCTACTCATGTCAGTTAGGGATCAGTCACACAATAACATCTCAAGGGCAAAGAGCTTGTGAATCAAAATGACAGCTGGGTGGATGAGTAGGAATGCAGAAAGGTGGCTTTTGCTTATTCAAGTTAAGAGGGGTTTTAAGCTGGATTCTAAAGGATGAGAAGAAGAAAAGCCCCAAGTCTCAAGGGAACAGTGACCAAGATGTTGGGACCAATTTGAGGGAGGGCTGGGGGTGCATATGAAAGAACACCCACATAGCCCTGCTGCAGAAGGGACAGGCAGGGAAGGCTGACCTACACTCATGTCTGGGGGCACCAAAGGAAGAAAGTCACTGGGATCTCACACTCAGTAATCTGTAAATGAGCAGGTAATTAACTCATTTGTATGGGACTTGAACAAGCAGGCAGCTGGTGATGAAGGACTAGAATGTGGCTCTGGACAATAGTGATCAAAACAGAGAATCATTTATTTGTTAAGAAAAATCAGGATGTTACAGTATAAAAATAAGCAATAGAGGGGGTTAAGAGCCATATAAATATAACTTGAGCAAAGAAATGTCCAGAACTTTAATAATTGATGACTCCTCTAACAATCATTCTAATTAATTAGAATCAGCTAACAGTGATCAGTTAACATCATGATAATTCGTGCCTGTTTGGGAACGTTTCTCAACAACAGATAAAGACAGCCTTCTCTGCATACTCACTAGTAATAGCTAATACTCAATGAGTACTTTCTCTATGTCAGGCAATGTTCTAAGTGCTTTGCATATATTAATTCATCTAATCCTCACAACTACCCTATAAAGATAGGGTAGATAGAGACTATTAATATTCCAGTTTATAATCAAGGAAACTAAGGCATAGAGAAGTTACGTCACATGTCCAAGTGTTACATTTGGCTGAGTCAGATTCAAATCCAGGCGGTCTGTCTCCAAACTCTATGCACTTAACCCCACACTGTTCCTGTCATCAATAAAATATTAAAGATTTTTTGACAACTAGAACACCTTAGATCAGCAAATATTCAAGTATTACATTTATGTAAAATGCAGTGCTTAATATTGAAAAAGATGCAAAGAAACATAAAACAAAACGATTGCTCTTCAGGAGCTTACAGTCCAGTTTCATGACGCACCATTTTCCTTGGGAATAGAGTTTGCGATCACCTTGCATACCCATCTTTTGTGTACCACATGATATTGGCAGGACATCGACACCACGAGAATAACAGGAATGTGGAATGAGGGCCAGAAGTCACCAGCAGCCATGCCAAACACTTCAAGACAGGTAAAGCTGTTTCCATGGAGCTCCAATTTAAAAGCCAAAGCAAGCCTGCTACTAAGGCTCAGATAACCTCTCTGATGTCAGCATTTTCATTTTTAAAATAAAGATAATGGAATTGGCCGTCTTTAAGTTCCTTTTAATTTTCAAATGTTTATTCATCATCCCCTCCCAACCTCAATGTTCTCAAAAATAAGATGATGGACCTGCTGGATCTGCCTACAGTTTTCCTTTATTGACATTTTAAGACGCCCTAAGCCAGGAAAAGGCAATCCTGTCCCAAAGGCTACTGCCTATGGGTGACTTACACTCTCACGTACTTGTCTACTATGTACTTTTCTACTTAAATACTTTCCTAGTCAAGGTCCCTATGGTCAGGAACCCTAAAAATCTAGTCTTCTTAGAATTCTGGCATTACAGAAATTTGCCCAATTCTTTTTATTAAAATAATTAACCAAGAAGAGACTATAACACAAGAAGGAATATAGCCTTTATTTTATATCTTTTTCACTGTTGTTTTCAAAGTCTGTTCCTGATGCAAGTAATTAACTCATTTGTATGGGACTTGAACAAGCAGGCGGCTGTGACAAAGAGCAGAACTTCATGTCCAGGAAGTGTTTTTAGAGCACATTTAGCATCATTACAAATAGCATTCAATTATATGATAAAGCATTTCCCTAAAGACCTTGTGCCATAAACATGCATTATCCAACCTTAGTCTCCCAGAATATGATGCCGCCTCAGGAGATTTTACAGAGGTTTTTCTATCACTCTTAGCCTACCTGGATTTCATGTCCCCAGAATAGGAAGCATAAAAGCCAGGGTTCAGTTGTTTCCTCCTCCTCTACTTCACTAGAGCATGTGATTTGAAGATTTTCCATTCAGGAATATCTGCAGTTGCAGCTGGTACATCAAAGGCTGTTTTTTGATGAACTTATTTGCCAAACATTCATTCCTACTTTTACAATTAACCTGTTTCTTCCATTCTCCTTAAGATAGAACCCTTCATAGCTCCAAGTGCTAGACATCCTGCCCTTAGATGAGATCGTGGGATTCTCAGCCAGCTTTCTTTCCTTCTTGTGCCTGGTTTTCGTGGAAAGCATCATCCACGCTGATGGAAGACCACCAATAGATGACATGGACACTAGGCATGCTGTTATTAGATCTGTCCCTTCCCTCCAGATATTGAAAGTCTCCAGGTAGTCATGATTTTATTACTAGTGGGAATGGGTACGTTTAAACAGGGAGATGGTGTGCATGGGCAAGAAGCACCTCAAATTGGAGCACCATACCTGCCAGTGGTTTACATAGTTTCCTTACTGTTTAGTTTCTCTCCCTCTAGAGTGTAGTCCCTGCCTGGACTTTCTCTACTTGGGAATAAGGTCGCGCCACTCCAACAGCACACAGAACAACGCGTGGGCAGTAGTAAGGAAGGGAACAGGGCAACAGGAATATCTGGAGAAAAACAAAATACAACTAGCAACTTGTGATATGAATGGAGCTCAGAGCTCAGAGCCATCTGACCTGCTATGCCAGCTGCCATCCTTAATTAAACTCTGAGCTGGCCTGAGCTCACACCTCCACACTCCTGAAGAATGAGCAAAGGCCACTCGTCCATCAAAGCTAATTTGTTTGCAGCCGTGAAAGTCCCTCAGGAGCCCAGCTCATTGTCTCTGTGCTCTGGAGCCTGTGCCTCAGTCACTCTGCCTGGCAGGCATGGGGCGAGTGTTTGATGATTCTCAGCACGGAGAGAAGGGCTCTGTTGACATCTGTTCTGAAATAGCTCCTCATCACTCTCCCCAGCCCTGTCCTGAGCCTAGAGAAGCGCTACATTTCCAAGTGTCCTACAGAAAACCTTGAGATGCCATGGTCCTGGGTAAGCCAGGAACTAGTATTCATTTAACCCCACCATGTGGAAAACAGTGGAGGGAAAGCCTATGTGTCCTTTGTACTCCATAAATCTATGTAATGGCATATTTTTTTTTGGGGGGGGGGCTTACTGAATCCAGGTTAGTAGGAATCTGCTGCCCTTTTATTGTAGTCATTTAACATTTCTCTATCTGGTACCCTGCAACAGGCACTCAGCCTGTACTAGCACATAACGTAGAGTCACTTCTCCATTACACTGTTAGTCGCAGTTTGTTTTGGCTTGCAAGGTTCTTGATGCATTGAAATCTGTCTGTTTCACTAGATTGGTCCCTTTAAAAAAATCTGTGTCTTATTGTACTATTGGTATCCTCAGTACAAAGAACAGTACGTGTTCAACTTAAGTCTTCTTGAACAGACTCTGTGTCTCCTAAGACCATGCAGGAGTATATTGCTGACAGTGGCTACAGCTGTGGACAAACTGCATTCAGCACTCGCCCACCTGGCTGAGCCCCTTTCTCAAGACTTCTGCTTATTATTCAAGAAGTCTTTCTTCTCCCAGTGTCACAGGCCCCCTTCACTGCTGTTAATCCATCCAGTTTGCACGTAACCATGCCTCAGTGACACATCTTGTGAGAGCATCAATAGCTCTGAGGCAATATAGGATATAT